CCCAAATGCGTATGGTGCGTTCGCTCGCTTCTCACCGAGCGACTTTAGGTTTGTAAACACTTCTTAGTAAAAAATAGATAGAACAAATTATTCAATCTCCTGAATTTGCCCGGCCACGACCAAAAATTTAAGAATGTATGAACATTTCTGGCTTTTCTTTCGAGCAGAATTTGCGACGCGAGAAACTTGGTTGCCACGAATTCGATTTGGGAGGAGCTAAGCATCAGTTGCTGACGAGCATTTGCTCGGCAGCAACTATCGAGTCACACTGGGATAGAAGCGTCGGTATCGGAAAGTTCAACGTGGCTAAAACTAGTGTGTGGCGTTTTGCAAACACAACTGTGCGCACGTGCACAGCTAAGACAGCACGCCATTTACTCTGGTGAATGCAAAACCTTTCTCTACACAGCAGCTTCCACAGATTTGAAGAAACAAGAATCAGAGGTTGTGAATAGCCCTGACGCACGCCGCGCAAGCTGTAATGTGAAACTCCAGGCTTGTTTTTGAACATTTTAAAGCTTTTTGTACTTTAAAAAGCAACTTCGAGGCGCTTTTATTCATTGGAAAGATCAGTCACAAAAACGTCATACACGCTCTTCTTTATTATATGAACAGTTTTAATCGGCATCGATATGAACTAATACAGCCACTACGCGCTTGCGTCGTCTGCTCGCATCCTACCGGCTCCTTCACAGGAAGGTGCACGCGAGGTGGCGCCACCAAAACATCTCGTCGGAGGGACCTTAAATATGCCCCTTTCGCTGCCCCTTCTGGGCAATGCAAGAGGCCTATCTGCTGTTTGAATTCCTATATGTCCGTTGCTAACTGAAAGATGTGGTTGTTTTGTCTTTGCCCTACATGTTTATTTCTCCTTTAATCTTGACCCGCACATACACGCTCTTCGTTCACCAAAATGAATTGTTCTTTTTTATTCAATCTCATCAACGTCATCACACTTCTTACTTTATTGTTAAACCCGATATTGAATTTGTTTCATAATACAAATATCTTGGCGGGCATCACCTCTCTTGTAATGCTCATATTAAATAACAACGGCAATTCTGATTCAAAGCATGGGCTGATTAAAAGACGTGGCGGGGAAAGAGGGGGGGGGGGAGTTTTTATTCTTCGTCAAGTCTCTGCAGATCAAATGCCGTTTTCTATTCGATGCCCTTCTCGTTTTATACAACTTGCTCGCCCTATTTCTTCAATTTTAATTTGCTGTTTGGGTAATTCCCACTCCGTACAGATTTAATCCCTCGATATGTTTCTCATGTTTTGTAATTTACATTGCACTATTGCAGTAAACTCACTATCTGCAAGGAGCTTCGCGTTCAACTTCCACAAATCCCACGAGAAACCCACGTGTTGCTTACGCTGCCCCACGTTACATGTTACCAAACTGTGATCACCGAAAGACACACAGCCGACTGCATAGTTGCTGCACATCGGTACTCTGTCGACTGAAATATTTTCTCTATCAAGCCTCGCAAGACTGTTCTCTTGATAGTGTGAGTATATTACTCGGTTTCCAGCCGATACACACCGCGCCACGTCCTCAAGGTTGGCATCTTTGATGATTTGAGCCAGCATTTCACTGGACCTATCTTTCCTGCATTATTTGTTTGAACGGTCTTCAGGTGTGTAAACACAAATAAAATCTCCTACTAGAAGTAGCAGTCAAAATCTCGTTAGATAGTGACAAACATTTTCGGAAAAACAAATTCGTTACCTTTCCACGGTCGGCGCGTAAATCCAAATTAGCTCTCACTTTAAACTGGAAAATAAAAAGTCGCAGAGAACGAACTGTCTTAATTAATTTGTTCTTCGATGACTCCTGACGCTCGATTTAAGAAGAGACAGCATCTCCCTGATTTGCTAACAGAATGGGTTACACAGGAGTTAGACTGCGACGTAAAAGGTTTCACCATGAGGTCGATGTGACTTTCACTTTCTTCTTTTGTTTCTTGTACTGCTAGCACATCCAGGTTATTCTCTGTAAGTAGGCAATTAAGCTGACACTGACTACGACGTGCCGAAAGGCCCCTGCCGTTTAGAGTTCCTACACGAAGGCTGCACGCGAGCTGTATCATTGCTTTGGTGTTGTCAGCCTCACCTCGTGGTGCTTACCTGTCGCTTTGTGACACCACAACATTAAGCAATCCTCCCTCGTTGTACAACGATGGAGACTGCTGCTCACTTGTATAGCGTCCCTCTTTCCTGACCTTCTGCCACGGCCTCTCCGGAATGTCGAGATCCTGTTCATCTCTGTTCCCTGTCGCCACGTCCAGCTGCCTCTTCACGTTCATAAAATCTAGGTCCATGTCCAGCTTACCGTTGTCGGTCGTTGCCATGGTATTGGTGACTCCCTCCACCTCTGTCGATGCCACCGGCGTAGGCGTGCCCATCGCCGGAACCTGTTCTGCCTTTCTGTTGTCCTCAGTTGTACCAGTAGGCGGCGAAGCCTTGGCAGCCACCTCTGCCACCTTGGCAGCGCCTGCGTCGAGTGCTGTTTCGTCCTTCTCCGGCACCTCTAGCGGTTTCGGTGACACCGTCGCAACCTCCTGTGCTTCTGTCTCGTCCATTACGATGTCCTGGCTTACATCTTGAACGCGGCTGACTACGGAACCTGTGTACGAGCGCACGCAATCTTGGTCCACGTGGCCAAAACCTCGACACTGCCCGCACCGTGGCACACGACGGTCTCGGCGTATGTGACCTGCCCTGTAACGTCGCAAGCAAATCGGTGCCCGCCCGAGCACGGCAACCAGGAGCGTACCTCCGTGGAGCCTCATCTAGTGAGGCAAGTTGTCCAGTGCCACCCCTTCTTCTTGTATTAGTCTGGCGATCTTTGTAGTCTACTTGACGTCTTCAAATCCGTCAACTCGACGCTTTTCTCTGGCAACCTCTTGAACAGTCCCAAACTCCTCCAAGGCCTTGCGGAGAGCGTCATTTGGGACGCCGAAGGGGACCCAGTGCACTTTGACCCGACGTCTTGCCTGTTGGTATCCACAGGAATGCACAGTTTTTCTTTCACTGTGACCCTGCCCAGTCTGAGTAGTCGTTCTTTTGCCGCAGCAGTTTATAAACTGCAGTGTCACACGTGGCCTACCTGGCACGCCCCGAGCCCTGCTAAGCCCTTGCGTAAGTCTTCCTTGTCCAGCGGTTCTTTGAAATCTGCAATCTGTAATGGCGTCGCAGTGACATCGCAGTGAAGGTAAACCTGGTTCTTTGCCTTGTCTCCCACCGGCAGAGTCAACAGCACAATTCTGTATGTAGTCAGCCGGGAGGCAAAAAGAACCATCACCACGGTCGGCAGCGACCGTTAGGACACCACATTCGGAGCGAGCCGTTTCGAACGTCCTCACTGCTCGGCTGCCATGCACGCGCCACTGAGCTTCGCTACCGCTTCGGAAACTGGTTGAAATCGTTGCCTATATGTGACGGCGGCAGCATCCATCTCCACGAGCCAGCCAGTCCGGTGTGAGCGCCGTTGGTAAGGGGTCTATCACCTACGCCCTACAAATAGGTTACCGGGCACCTGGGCGTCGCCATCTTGCTTCTGCTGTGGCATTCCTGAGGCTTACCCGCGGTTTCCAGACTGGCGCCCAAACAAAGAGTCTTCCATCCACGGTGGCTGAAGACTGGCTCTAGAAGCGGGGCTGCTCGCAAACGTCTACAATCAAGCGCAGGGAGATAATGCTCCGATTAAAACGCATTACCGAAAGTCAGCTTCAGACTGGCCGTAGTCTGCTTTGATTTGAAACCGTGCACTAGCACCAGTTGGACCTCTATGCGGAGTGCAAGATCGACTGCTTCTTGCACAGGGGTTGCGAAGATGTCAGAACATAAAACTTTCATTGGCTGATTAAAAAAAAAAATTGTGGGTAGACCCTAAGGCATTTATGACTGAGGTCTGCCCGCTATCATTTGAATCAGAGCTCGGCGTCATTCTGACGTCACGGCAACTCCTGCGCAAGAAGCAGACGATTTGCTCTCCGCATATCGTATAGAAACGGGCACAACGAATATCACCTACACTCCTTTTCACCTGAAGAAAAAAGGAAGTTCTGCGCATTATTCTTACGACGCGCGAAGGAGTTCTTATAGCATTTGGTTGTCTGAGCAAGGAGCGATGCCTTCGGCGTTCGAAACGTTTACGGCTTGATAAGAGCCGGACTTTTTTTTTTACTAAGCTTCTTGAGGTGAACACGAGTATTGGGGAAGAGACCAGAGCGTGGAGTCCCAAGCGGCTAACTTTAGAACTACACGGATGAGGACAATAAATAACAATGACTCAGTGCCCGGCTAACATAACCAAACGCCGCGTCAGCATTCGGCTGGAGATCGTGTGTTCCGGTCGCCCGAGGGGAAGGAGGGGCTCTTTTGTTACCACTCCGGCCTGCATGAACACTGCAGCATGCACGGTCCTCAGCTAAGCACAAAAGCCGAAGTGGGTCAAGCTCGCGTCCTCTGACGACTGCTTTCGGGAGAGATCCGGCACTAAACTAAACATCCCGTCGTGTCTTATTAGTCTTTAATACGCTACACTGTGCCCCGCGCTTTATTGAAGAAGGTGACGTAAACATGACGTGGAAATGCCCACACCGCCTGTGGGCATGCCTACAGGCCTTGTGTTGGGTAAACACCGAGGTGTGGGGATAACAAACGGGTTTCTCGCCAATAGAAGACGAGGCCTGCTCATGACGTCATCGTTTGTTGATCTCCAACTCTCCCCAAGCGACAAACGCACTCTCGATGAGAGCTGCCGCAGTGTGGTAGACGCGTCCTTCGTTACGTCACCTCGTGTTAGCGTCGCGTTTGCTGTGAGTCGTTGCTTGCGAAACACGCTGTCGACGATACTGACGCAGGCTATGCGGTACTGCTTTGATGACGCCTGGGAGAGAGCTGCGCAGGCCTTATCTTCTAAGTGGCGTTGACAGAACGCATTCGGCCGCTCTCAGACGCAAATGTGTGAACGTATACTCTTTCGAACCCAGGCATATACCTTTCGTCGCTATGGGGCGTTCGACCACCACTTCTGCTGCTGCTCTTCATATTTATTCTGAGGATTCCAAACGCAGGTCAGTGGTGTCTTTCGATGAACTTTTCTTCCATGAATGAGGTGTACAATATTTGTTTGCTCCGCCGACTATACTCGTTTAAAAATTGAAATTTTATGTTGTGCGAATTATAATATTAATACTATTTTTTATTTCAAGATCTTTCATTATAACGAGACTTGAGGAATTTCGTCAATGACAGATTGTGCTAATGATAATTTCTATGTGATACAAGCTAGAATTATAAAGCACGCATTTTGTAATGTACAATCTAAAAAGAATTGGGTCGTAAAATAACTCTGAGGGGTTCTTCGACTTGTCCGTAATTTGCACCCTAAGAAGTTATTTTACGTACCCACTTCAGGGTTCTTAGTAGAGAACCTATGCTGAGCGCAAGCTCGGATTGGCTCCGATTGGAAGGACATCGGGTAGATCTCAAAGAGCCACAATTCACGTCTGAGTGATTTGTTGAACTGCGGTGAATTCCGGCAAAATTTTGGTATTCACTGATTTGCCTCAAAATTGGCTCAACAACATTCATAAACACACCTGAACTTGTAAACGCACAGAAATAGTCAGTAAATATTTGTTTGGCGAAGTCATTGAAGTTTCAATCTTGATTTGAAAGGCTGAAGGCTCTACTGGCAACTCTAAAAGCATTCCAACGTTCCAGTAAGGATGGGAATTCGAACGTCGACCCCTTTATTGCTGATGATACTGTTGAGTGAGGACATCGAAATATATTAGTTTTACTCTTTTTCTAAATTGCAGTTTTTTTCCAGATAGATTATTAAGAATAATATGTTTTATTTTTTCCGGCGAGTGTTTCTCGCGTATCCACAATAAATATAATAAAATAACGTCAATATAATTAAAAACGCAATTTTTTTACCTTGCTGTTATATTGTTTTGCGGATGACAGTGAATTGCGGATGAAACGAGCTCGTATTGTGTGTGCTGTTTTGTTTTCTGCTGACGCAAAAAGTTTCATTTTGAATGCCTTTTTTTCCCCCAGAGATGTGTCAAAGCCACACACCACCGGTACCTACAAAGCCCCCCTCAGGTATATGACTTTTGACACCAGCTTCATGAGATACGCAACTAAACGACCGCAGATGTGTACGGGACTTAAAATAATTAGAAACTATAGAGTGTTTTCGTTTTCCCTTAAACCTTGTTTAGTTGGTGTTCCTAATATTTGAGACATACACGATTGTTTTGTGTTTACAAATACGAGCCGTTTCTTGTCTCCGAGAGACCTCCGATCTCTCCGTTCCGGCAGACCTTCCCCGAGCATATGTTGATGTTAGGAAGCATGGTGGAAGGTGCAAAAAACAACGGACGCATGGAGGAAGACACTCACACAGACCTTCCTTCTGTCTGTTGTTTCTTGCGCGTTACACCATGCTTCCTAAAATTCACCAACTAGCTCAATTGCAAGTTCTATATTTGTTTATGCCACGATTGGTACGACGCTAAAGTGCCATATAAATGACGAAGTTCAAAGTTTAGGAACGTCCTTCTGCTATTCTGCTATTCAACATACAAAAGATGACCACTCGTGTTAGGGGAGTATTCACAAATGTTAAAGAAATCTGTCGTTACACGATCCTTTTGCAAAGCAGCTGTTTCGTGGTAGTTCCAAGTAGCCGAGCTGTGGTGGAGATTGTCTGTCCTTTCATGTGACCGGAAGTTGGTAGGGACGCCAAATGTAACAGCATCCCCTAGCGAAAAGAGCCTCTAAAAACAAATGAGAAAACGGAGCAAAGTGAGCTTTCCTAACTCGGGGCATACTTGTGTAGCAATTCATTTTCAGTAATTGAATGACTGCTCTAAACAATTTTGTAATTTGTAATCTCAAAACAACTCTTTTTGACCAAAAGTAATTGGAGCTGTAATTTAATTACTTTAATGCTCGGTAATTTGAGAATTCGAATTACGATTGCAACTAGTTAATCCGTGATTCTGTCACGATGAAGCCTATGTTCTTCGGAGGGACTGACAATGTGGTGAAGAGCCGCTTTCTCATTGCCCTCTTTGCCAGCTCGTGGGTTTTTTAAAAACGGCCAACCTGCACCAGTGTGTCAGCCTTAGGTCTAGAACTGAGCAATACGCCGACGTAACGATCCATGAAGGTTGACCCAAAACATGCCCCTCGGGTGCAATATATTTCTTTTTGTCAAGATAAAGAGAAATTAAAAAGAATAAAAATAATTTGGATGGTAATGTAAGGATAATAAAGTTTCAGAACCGTTATCTCAATCAAAAGTTATGAGGGATTTTCTGAAACTTTATATCGGGGAATGCGCACCTGTTTTCGCCCGTTTTCGGTGACTGGCACCGTTTAGCTCCAGGTATTCGAGAGCTCTGTCGGCCTCCATTTTTCCGGTAAAAAAAAATCACTTGTAACTTATGAATGCAAAACCACATGCCAAAATTTCAGGTTTGTTAGTCCTGAAACTTTGGCATGTGGTTGGGACCTTTAGCGCCACATCTAATTTATTTTGCGGTGAAAAAAAAATCTTGTAAATTTTTTAGAACATCTATTGTACATTGAATACCTTACCAAGACTCTTGTCATCTTTAGAATAATAGAAGAGTTTGAACTTCCATTCGGTTTTTCCTGTGCGTAGAATACTAGGAATAGCACATTTTATTTGAAATTCTACAATAAAAAGGAACCTACAATTCAAAAAGTGTTGAAAAAAAAACAGGAAAAAAACCTGGCCTACATCACATTTAGACGAGTAATGAAGAGATGAAATAAAGGTGCAACACGTGACGAATGTCGAATGACGTATAATTTATCCGCAGTCAACACATCAAATATTGTACTACACGGCATTGAACTCTGGTATACATTTGAACGTAAACCATTTGCAAGGTATATGCAGTACCTTCTAAAAGTAATGTGTCATCGTAATGAATAGCATTTTGGGAGGTATAAATTTCAATAATTAACTAGTAGAAAAAACAGCTGTAATTGTAATTAAATTACATTTCCGAAGAAATTTTCACCCAGATATGATCTATGGGCACTACAAGTTGTTAAGAGTTTCCTCGGCGGCTCATGACAAAGATTTATATCACAGCCACACGCCTCGGTTCGCTGTACTGCGGATATTATAAGAGCTCTGCGATTGCACTTCCAGCTATTGTGAAACGATGAAGTCAAAAGAGCTTTTCCGATGGAAAAAAATAGGAACAGAATGGTACGAGCTATGGGTGGAAGCACATATGAGAAAAAACTAACCGAAAATCGCACGAAATTCAGCACACATTTCTTCACCATTTTCAGGAGGTACTAACAGACACACGTTAAAATCACATTTGTGCGCAAAAAAAAAAAACGATTTAAGGGAGCAGATATTTTCATTGGCCTTGATGATGGCCTTCCAGACAACAGTATTTCTCCTCCGTTGTCGGAATCCAACATTTTGAAGTTCGTACTTTGGCTGTAACAGCTCGGGGCGATTTTAAGCCTGTTTGAAATTTCGCGCGTTTATCGGTTGGCGTCTTGCAGATGTGGTGTAGCCTTCAATGGTCAAATACATGGGCGAAAAAAAATCCGATAAACTTCCACACAATTTCTTGAAAATAAAAACGGGATTTTTATTTTGCAAAAATTACGGATTTCTTTTTAAGAAAAATCATGCTCGCTACTTGCGCGCAGGAAATAACCTCGTTTCTTGAAAATCGTTTGAAAGGGACGTCGTTTGCGTCTTTCAAATTCTGTACGTTCTTCGCCAGGAATATTTCGCACTTGCGTTCGAGTTTTTATTCTCGACAATTCACAGCGGAAATCTACTTTCTGGCGCTTTACGTTCCTGTACTATAATATACCTTACTTTTGTCCTACTATAGTTACTGACATGATAAGAATGGCAAGGCGTCTCTTATCGTCTCTTCTACCCGGCCTCCAACACCCTCTCGTTGCCTTCCAGCGTGCATTGGTTGCGCGAGCACTGTCGAATCTCACGAGCCTCCTAAGGGTTATCGAAGCCGAGAAGCTCGTGTTCGAGGCGGGACAACAACTGAAATGCGTCCCTGCCGTTCTCATTTTATAAGGGACGACATCCAATATGCAGATAATAAAATTATGACCCATAATTATTTTCATGGTAGTCTTGGCAAATGACTCGACATTCTCAAAAAACGTGGAGCGCGAGTTCGCCTGCTTCTTGCGCAGGGGTTCCCATGACGTCAAAACGCGGAATTCTGACAGGCTCCGATTGACGGATAGTAGATAGACCTCAAGGCAGACAACATTTAGGTCTACCCACTATTCTTTATTCAGAGCCAATCAGAACTCAGAGTTCTGACGTCGCCGCAACCCCTACACAAGGAGCAGAGGAACTTGTGCTCTGTGTAGTATTTCATCGGTACCGACCAAGTTAACAATTACTTCATGTTTCTATGCAGTTCCCTCGCAGACACGTCACGTTAACTTATATCTCCTGTCGGACTACTCGCACTGCCAGCTGTTTAGGAATATTGGAGATCAGCATCTTTACATGAAGGTTCTGACAAACGGAGTAAGTAGGAAAAGCATTCGTCCCGTGGCTTTTTCTTATCTTTGTAAATGGCCTGCCAACTATATACGTTGGTCCCACGCTGCCCCCCCCCCCCCCCCCCCCCCCCCCCGTGTGACCTACGTGGTTTCAAAGGGGCAGGCCCAAGGCCACATTGTCCGCGTGAGACCCACCTGTGCTGCTACCTGGACCACTATTGAGCGGCGATTGTCAGAGACAGCCCAAAGCCAAGGACACGTTGCCAATACACCGCGCAAAGCACGATCTTCAGACACTTTCTGAGGCGCCTGTCTTACTTGTATGTCACATTGTATGTCACACAAACATTCTTCAAACGAGCATAAGGCATGTCTACGGATAATTCTCTCATAAATGCCCGCAGAGAACTCCGCGCCCTTTGTGTGATGTATATGGGCAGCGTGACAGCGGCCGCAAAAACGCAGGGCGCGTCGAGTCTCTCATTATCGCCTCGCAGCCAATCAGGTTGCGGCACTAGACGCCCAAGAACCAATCACAAAGGAAGAAGCGTAAAAACAATAATTCATTTATATATATTTTTTTTCAGTCTCGACATGACTAGTCCCTCGCTGGATGATATCATTCACGTGTTTCGTGTTTGCATATTTCTGCAGGTGAGAGCAACCTTCAGCGGACTGCCACACGAGCTGGGACTCAATGTCAGGCTCGTTGGAATCGACTGCCTAAACGTAAGATATCATTTTTTTCGCTCGTGCATCAGACGGAGTGGATTATATGCGCGTGAAATATTCTACAGGCTCCGAAATACCCGAGCTTATGGCGCACCGTGATGCACTCGGCGATCGGCAGCATACTTTCCGAATGTTGCCGCATCAGTATTATGGGGGCGTTTTTTACGAAACGCCATTTCCCCCTTAGTTTGCGTGCAGACTATTCGTTCTTGAGCACCGTTTCGGGTGTCGATGAAGCGTGTAAGCATGGCCAGTGGCACCGACCAACGACAGAACTCAACTCAATAAGTACGAGCAGTGATGTATTTGGATCGCTTGAACTCATGCTTTCTATTCTTTTTCTCTCGTTTTTGTATTCGCACTTGCGACTTTCACTGGAGTCAGTTCAGCCGCCGACGGCCGGCATCTTGAGAGCCGATCTGAATAGGCGGTAGACCTGAATAAACCTGAATATTGACGTTGGCGAGCATTGTAGTTTCGAGTGCGTATTTCTCTTATTTTGCTGCATGGAGTCGGGACGCACACAAAGAGCATATTGAAGTACGCTCATTGGTCTCCAAGGCGAAGTATCCGAGCGAAGTTGGCCGCCATTGCAGGATTTCATTGTATAACCTACGCAAGACATACGATCATATATCGCCTCGTGAATTGGGGTTTGTTCTTACGTTTTGTCGTAAGCACGTTCTGTAGCAAAAACAAAATATACTTAGCGAACAGATTCTGTTGCTGCGCGTTAAATCGCACGACCGAAGGAAAGCAGGGCGAAGAAAATACTTCGCCCCGTTACATGATCTTTGTCTCTCTACGTCAAAATTGAGTGATGACAGGGCTCCAATTGGTTCCGCTGGGATCTAATAGGCTGCAGAGGCGGTTTTCACGACTGACATTGGCCGTAGATGGAGAGTTTTTTTTTTTTTTTTGTGGTTGACTGAAAGTTGTGCTTAAAAGCAAGGAAGTTGCGTTTTAGATCTGTGTCTGTGTTCAAGGTTTTTCCGCGATCTCGTGTTTTCAGCTCTTGTCAAATTTTCTCCGATATTTCTAACTTCAGCGTCGCTTTAAAGTAATTTGCATGTGATCTTTTAGTAAGCCATGAAAGTAACTGTCGTGTATCGCGCTTGCTGTGCACTCAGTGTCTACCCTTTTCGTATATCATTAGGCAGTCTCACCATAGCGTTGCCGTACAGAGCGGCATTAGAGGGTTTGCGTAAATATTTTTCCCTACCCCGCTGCGCTCTCCCAGATATCTTTATACTGAGAGAGTTTGGCGCTCCCTTGAAGATGCCGACAGTCCAGTACCCACAGCTGGAAGTCGGGCAACCAGTAGGTGGCGCCTTGACTCCGCCACTTGGTGTTATCGAGTGTCGAACCTGTACTCTGGATTAGGTACGCCAGGTATGCGGTGACCCGCCATTGTAATAAAAGTTTTAGAGCGCAGCTCTTAGGCGCCCGTTTCCGGCTGAAGCGGCGTCGCCGTCATCGTAACCGCGCGGTGCATTATGGGTAAATTTTCCCGCTAAATCTAGCGAAAAAAGTTTCCCGTTAAATTTAGCGGAAAAAATTTCCCGGCTAGATCTAGCGGAAACATTTCCCCACTAAATCTAGCGGAAAAATTTCCCCGCTATATCTAGGGAAACAATTCCCCCGCTAAATCTAGCGGGAAAATTTCCCCGCTAAATCTAGCGGAAAAATTTCCCCGCTAAATTTAGCGGGAAAATTTCCCTGCTAAATTTAGTGGAAAAATTTCCCCGCTAAATCTAGCGGAAAAAAATTTCCCCGCTAAATCTAGCGGAAGAAATTTCCCCCGCTAAATCTAGCGGAAAAATTTCCCCGCTAAATCTAGCGGGGAAATTTTGGTCACGTGACCGGGGGTTCACGTGTCCTGGGGAGTCACATGACCCCTCCCCCTAGGTCACGTGACCCCCTCCCGAGGTCACGTGGCCTCGGAAGGGGGTCACGTGACTTTTTCCCTTATGTCACGTGACCCCCCCCCCCTTCCCAGAACACGTGGCCCTCAGTACCCTTCCCTCCTCCTCCTCAAGAGCTGCGCTCCAATTCGGCGTTACACGGAGTTGTAAACGGCTTTCACTTTTTTTCTGCACACGTAATCGGCAGCTCAAACTTACATTTCTGCTGCGCTCTCTTAAAATTATATGTGCTTAAACCTATTCCTCTTTTGTGCAAAGTTAGTATTCAATACTTTGAATATTGTGTTTCAAACATTACCACCGCTAAAATTCAGTGCCGCGACGGGCGCCTTCTGGGAGAGGCACTGCGAATCTGTGCGCTCAATTGCCAGATTTCTTTTTTGTGTGAGAAAGCATAATTTTTTATAGAACCAAAAGAAATAAAGCTTATTTGTCAACTCTGTTTTTGGAGATCAATAAAAGATGGGCAGTGCTTAAATATAGTGATCAATTCAGGCATAACCAAAACTCAGAGTACAAGAAATTTTGTTTATAAAGCAACTGCTAACCCCGCATTTGGACTAACGCACACAGAGTAGAGTGGCTGAAAAGAAAATCCTCCATTTTGTGTTAACGTAAAGTCCGCTTGTTCTAGCTGACGACAGGCTCCACCCATCGGCCAAACTCTCGCAGTATATAGGACTCTGCGCTCCCCGCAACGAAGACGACGCTAGTGCGCATGCGCGCCGCGGACCTTGACTGCAGAGTTAAAGGGATACTACAACGATATTTTTTGCGCTAATTTTTAGTCTATATGTGTTCAAAGGAGCAGTATCACATCGAACATACCTATATCTTGTTAAAAAGTCTCGAAAAGGAATTTTAAAACGAATTAAACGATTAGCAAAGAGCACCTGGTGGATGTCGCTAACGCCTCGCTTGTAATGCCCGTCTAGGAACCTTGACAGCTAGTGACGGTGAGTGTCTGGCCTCCGGCCACGACGAGAGAAGGGGGGAAGGAGGAACTCCTCTCTTCCCGAGAATGCCTTTTGTGTGTCGCAGAAGTCGCTATCGTCCCCCTACAAGATTATAGAAGATTAAACCCGTCCCTCAAAATTCGTACAAAAGCAGCCGCTTCGGTGGCTGGAACGACTAGGCCATCCTCTCGACGTCAGCCTCGCCGTAGCTTTGCTCGTCCCGAGACGACCTACGTCACGACTACGTTGAATGTCACGTGGTCTTCGCTGGGCCTTCTCCGAGCGTTTGCCAGAGTGGGGGGTTTATAACGAAAAATACAGCCACCAGGCTCAAAATACAAACGTGCGATTGTCATTTACGGATATTGTGGATCATATTCAACCTATTTTTGAACGCGACGGGAATATTTCAAATTTCGTTGAAGTATCCCTTTAAGGATCTCGTAGCGGGTTGCGGAGAGCATTGCGGGACGGAAGAAACGATCTACAAAAACTCCCTATTGCTACCGAAGTTGGTGCTGCACCTGCGATACACGCTCTTCAGCGTACTTTCAGCGTCCCTGCCGAACACGTGCGGTTGTGCAGTACAAGCACAGTTCAGGGTCATATGCTCGCGCTTGTAGCATAGGCTGCGTCTGGACTTAAAGGAGCTGTGCAACGATATTCAATCGGAATGTTTTTCTCTCTACACGAGCTTACTGGCACAACTGGGACTCAAGGATACCCACACGCAACGCCATTGGCCAAGAAACTCCTTTGTTGCGGAGTAATTTTAAGAACAAAAGCGAACATTTTCATTCAATATCTCCTTTGCAAATTTTGATGACGTAACGTGGGTATCGCAGTGCACCCCAAGTGACGATATTTGAATGCAGTTCATAGATTGGACCCGAGCATTGCGTGGGCACTAGACTTGGGCTCGTGACAATTGCTAGCTCGAGAAGCATTTGGGTTGTGACCCGTGTCCAATCGCTGCAACGACGACAACAGCCGAGCCATAACAATGTCTGGAACTGCGCTTTGCCAACCCCAGCTCGTGGCTATGATCAACACTGGCGGCATATAATCGGCTCCAGATCACGTGGCCGCTTGTTCTGGCTGCGAGTTGAGGGGGTGAACGCTGCTCGTTTTTCTTAAATATTTTTCTGGGACTTTTATTGCGTGGGGTGAAAAACGAACGCGTGTTTCTTAGGTCATTAACGTTAGGGATCCGTTTTAAGCGGTATTTGTGCACAATACAAAAATTGTTGCATAGCTTCTTTAAGCTGAAACGAAGTGTAGAGAGTTTTAGTAGACCCTCTGAGCAGAACGTGCGCTACAGCTTTGCGTTGTTAGCGGGAGCTCGTGCCGGCGCTTTGGAGCATGGATTAAGCCTAGTTGAGCACGCTCTCGCTAGGCTCGCAATCCTCAGTGCACGGTCTACTAAAAAGTTATATTGTATCACCCGTGCGTAAATACATGTTAAAACTCCAAAATAAAAAAAAAATAAAAAATTGTGACAACGTGGCATTTTTCAGATTTCCGAACAAGCCAAGATGTATAAAACCAGCCTCCGGGACGGCAAGTTGGATGAGAATAGTGCTTGGTTCGGTTTAATGTTTTTTGCATCACAAAACGCGAAGCGGTTTGAAAATGCTACGATCATCGTAATGTTAACGCAGTAAGTAAGAGAAGCAGTTGTCATGACCCTGGCTGTCGCTTGATCTAAACTGAAAACGTACTATTTGTTACAGGTACGCCTTCCAGGATGTAACTAAAACTGGTGACGGATTTTAGTTACTTATTCACCTATTATTATATAAACTTGTAGATGATGAAAGTAATAGTAAAAGAAGGCAGTGAGACTCTTAGAACTATCTTTAAAAAAAAAAAAAAAAAGCTGAACGTCCTGGGATTTACTATGAGGCTTGCAGATAATTGTGATCATGCATGGAATGTAGCTGGACGCACTTGGAATGAGTCCGACGTGTTTCGGCACTAAATGCTATGGCGCTTGGAACACGTCCTCCGACCTGTTGTGTTTACCGCGTCAAAGAAAGCGGTCCCTAGATTTCGCCTGATGAGTGATGACGTCATAGAACTATCATGCTGTCGCCGGTCGCGATCCTGGCGGCGTCCCAGCAATGGTGCTAGATGTTGCAGACGCCTGTTCTGCTGCGGGTCGCTCTCCAGCTGGACAGTCCACGGAAGATTCGACGGCCAGTAGTTGGCACGCCACGACGACAGCCACACTCGCCTTCACTTATAATACTTGCCGGAACTTCTACACCCCGCCGCTGGGATCGCAACATCCGAAAGCGTGACAATCCGACTTCTGCAACGTCATTTGTTGGCACTTTGGGACCTTAATAACACACCAGTCAGAAGACGCGTTTCAGGCACCGCGGCCCCTCCCCGGGGAACCTGCTGTCCGAACGTTCTACGGGGTATACAGGCAACATCTTCTGAATAACAAGGCCTATTGTGCTTGAGTTTTTACGTTAGCTGCTCGAGGCCATTGCGGCGGGACGCAGGTTGAACACGAGTGCTGCGGCAACATGCGGCAGGCACTCGTGTTCATAAAGACTGCACAGGAGTTCCAGATAAACGCTGAGGCAGCACTCGTGTGTAATTTGCGCCCAGCGACGGCCTCAAGCACGTGACGCCGAACATCAGCACGCAGCAATGCTGGGTTGAGCATGACAGCACACGTGAGCCATCCCTCTGACTTCTTTTGCGTACCCTCTTACGCGCGAGAGATACGTTTCCATGGTGTTATTTCGGAAAGGGAGAGGGAGATAGAGAGAAGGAGAAAGAGAGATTAAACTTTATTCGTTAGAGCCTTTCGTCCAAGACATCCTCTTCCCCGAGAACTTTGCTTATAAGATCCGTCAGTGCAGCCCATGCGGCGTACTCTGTGGACCACCGGAGGGCGATCCACTCCTCCCATTTAGATGATCTAAGCGGTTGTGCTAAGCGTTTGAGGTATTTTACAAAACTTGAAAGTATAAAACAGAGGGGACGAGCACGGGAACAGGACATCTTTCAGAACGTTGAGACCCTTGGGGGGGGGGGGGGGGGGGGGGGGGGCGGTTTTATCGTTGTGCCATTCTATGTTGTTGCTAAATGAAAGATGTCCTGTTCCCGTCCTCGTCCCCTCTGTTTTATACTTTCAAGTTTTGTATCTATTAACCAACACGCTCGTTTTTAATTGTAACGGAGGTATTTTAGTTTCGTGTCCTTTGTTGCTGGGCATTTCCAGAAGGCGCGCTTGTTGTTTTGATATGCACCGTATTTTGTGCATTTAGATGCCCTTGTAAACCATTTATGTAATGCTTGTAGTGCTCTGTGAGGAGTGTCCGTGTCTGTTTCTTCCTCATGGTGACTGATTGCTGGTTAGTAAGGACTTTGGAGGGGCTTGGTAAAGTGGTGCGTTTATCTCGGAGTTGTTGGAGCAGATCGATCCTTTCCAAGTGCACTTCCTTCTATGTTAGTAGGCGTCGTAGGTGAATGGCCGAAGAAATGAAGGACCCGGTTGACTATTTCCTCGGGCGAGTTCGTTAGCCTCTTCATTTTCGTCGATGTTTTGGTGGTCAGGCACCCAGCTGATGGTAACGTGGAGTGTGGGGTGAGAACTCATGTGTTCCTGGAGAATGGTTTGTATGTGCTCCACTAACGTATTTTTAGTGAATCTTCTGAGGGCACCTTGACTGTCCATGAGGATGTGAATATTGCTTGTGTTTTTGCTGGGGGTGATCGCGTTTGCTATCGCTTGGGTATCGAGGTCGGTCGCAGTAGGGGGTTTGTAGTATTTGGTTACCAGCTTTAGGTCATGGTCCTACCACTGCTGCTTGCATGGGCGTACCAACCCGGGGGGGGGGGGGGCAAGGGGGGGCTTGCCCCCGAGTTTTTAGAGGGGGGGGGGGCAAGGCATGTGTTTTACCACCTTCCCCCCCCCCCCCCCCCCCCCCCTTCCCTAAAACAGCCACCACCGGGCAGGGCACACATTGTCCGGAGGCGCCGAGGGATACCAAGGGCACCCCCCCCCCACTCAAAAACAAGTTGGTACGCCACTGACTGCTTGCCCCTTTCTGGATAGTTTGTCGAAGCTGGCATCAGTAAAGTATACCGGTTCCGTTTTCGGTAGAAATTATATATATGATTCCGTGTGATGTGTCTTACAGTCTGTGTATCTTGATGTGTTTCACGGCTCATATCCTTAGCAGTGCCCTGACACTGGCTGTGTAAATGAAGCTTTTCTCTCTCATATTCTTGGCACTGTTATTCTGGGTATGATGTTCCATAGCGGAGGGAGTTCACATATTGAGGGCAGGTTATGTGTTGGATATCTGAGGGATGCCAGGATCTTCCCTTCTTGATTGGAGCTTTGTAGACGTTGTTGTTGGGCGAGCTGAAGTGTATAGACCCTGCCGTCTAATTTGTTAAATATACCCGTTTGGTATATCATCCTATTTGGGGTAAAGCGGGGAACAAGTATTGATAATCTCGTTGCTTTGTGTAGTTGAGTGTTTAGTTTTTCCTTCTGGGGTTTTGTGAGGGCCATGTAGGGTATTGCTTACGTGACGCGTGATGTATTGACTGGTCCAGTAATCTTTTTAATTTCGTTCTCCTTCATACCCCATTTATTTCTTGTCATTCAGGTTATTATGAGCGTGATTTGGTCAAGTTTTTTGGTGCATCTGTCTTTCCATTGTACTGCTTTGCCGTCTTCTTGAAAGATGAAGCCCAATATTTTTATCTGTGGTATCAAGGTGTAGCGTGGTCGCAAAATTTCAGGTGAATTTTTTTTCTGACTGGTCCAGCCTCTTTTTTTCTGCCGTTGAGAATTACTGTGTATTCCGTTTTGACCAGTGAGCATTGAAAACCTATGCTCATCGTTTATTCCTGAAATGCATCGATGCCCTCTTGTAGTGTTGTCTGTTGGTGCCTGGGGGAGCCCGCAGTGCGCCACAATTTGGTGTCGCCCACGTAGAAATGTGTAGGCCTAGAATGTCCTGGAGTTTCTTTAGGAGGTCTTTTAATGCCAGGTAGAATAGCGTTGGTGATAGTATTGCTTCTTGTGGCACGCCTCTGTGAAGTGGAAATGGCGGACTTGTATAGTCGTTAATTTCTATTTCAAGTGTCCGGTTCGTAAGGAAGCTCCTGATGTAGCTGTCCATTCTATGCCCGAGTTTGGTGCCTTCTAGTTTGTCTAGTACAACTTGAAATGTGACGCAGTCGAAAGCCCTGTGGATGTCTATTCCAACAATTTTTTCTGGTCTGGGTCGGGCTGGAGGGTCCAAAGACTTGTTGTTGAAGTCTTAGCATGGAACATTGCGTAGTCACGTGTTTGATAAATCCTATCATTGTGTGGTGGAGGGCGTTTGTATGGTGACATTCTAGCTATCTCAAGGACATTTTTATGTTAGCTTGTCTATACGGGATGTAAAAAGATGGGTCCAAGGTTTTCGATTTTGCTTGGTGGCTTGCCGGCCGGGTTTGGGTATGGGAATCGGTTCCAAAGGCTTCGGTGTTTCAGACAACTTTCGTGTCGACTCAGTTTAGCGAAGAGCGCGAAACGAAAAAAATAACAAGGGTCAAGCACTCGTTCCAGTGTAAGGTTCTCTGCCCTGCCGATTCAACTGAAATTTTTCGTTTGATTTTCTATTCAATTATTGAGCGTTGGAGTGAGGTATAGGACGAGATCATGGTAATTGGGATTGCTCATTTCAAGTCCGCTCTGGATTAGGCTAGCTCTGGACACAAACGCGCACTGAGTCTCGCAGGTTACAGTCTTATGATTAGCTTTCCAGTGTTCATACCAGTTTCAACCGGTTACGTGTTTTAATTACATTAAAACTCCAACTGCACCAATCAGTGTTGCAGCCACCAATTAGACACAGTGTTTCAGTATTTTCTAGTGACTATAGCTGTGTGCTCCGTGGTTAGGCGCGTGCTGAAAACGAGCGTTCGCTGTACTTCTCTCGCACTGACAGAACTGTTGTTAAAGACAGACGGACGATAAGTTTATTAATCAGCGGCTCGTGCTGAGGACAAGTGAACACTCCCTACGCTTTAGTCGTAATGTGATTCAAGAATATATGAATACACCACAAAACGTATATCACATGATCTGGCAACATCTTAGGCTTCTTTCATGACAAACAAACAGAGAAATTCGGTATTATGCCCTATCATCGTCTGGCTTCTTTCATGCGTGCCGATATGACTGCTTGCGCGTGCTTATATAACAGTGAGAAAGAGCCATATCATTAAATTGTGATACTTCAATTCACTTCAGGCTACTCCGTCCTTGGTGGATTATGCAGTAAAGATCAAGTAGTACTCGTCAGCGATGAACACGCACTCTACCGCATTCAAGGGGTCGTGGCGGAGCACATCTTGAGAGTGTAGGTCTGACATTTCTGTCCGCACTTCGATGAAAACACTGTACTCCGTTTTATCTTAAAAAAAAAAAAACTGAAGCGTTTTTTTGTTAAAAGTCTATAAAAAACATTTACGTCTTCATTACCTGGTTTCCAGGATTGCGAATATCAAAATTATATATCAGATTGATGCGCCAAGTAACCACAACAGCGCTTTCATGGCGCATATGTTTTGTGTAATAATGCAAGCTCTGTAAAAAAAAAAAAAAAAAAAGAACTGGAAACGTTTTTTTTTATTTGAAAGAATTTTAAAACAGAAATGCCTGCAAACGAACACAAAGTAACGTCCATGTTTAAAAAAATACATTTTTGAAAGTATGAACTTTCTAAAATGCCAGGTTTTTTTCTCATGCCATCAAGGGAAAAAAAGAAAACATGAAAACTTTTGATGAGTCTCCAGCGTTTGAATTGCACCGAACGTCCTTGTTTGTCAAATTCAAATTGGCAATAGACCTCAAGACTATTACTGTTTACAGCCATAAACCGCCGCTTGCGTCCCAAGCGACTTCCGGTCGCACCGTCTTTGCAAGCCTCTTGAGCTTGCTTATGTCACCGGTGCTAGAAAGCATAAATGCTACACGGACAACAAAGATTGAGATTTAGCGAGGGCCTTCGGCTGTACAATTTAACCTCTTGGAGGAGACAAGTTCGTTGACAAGAATGTTCGAAAAATATGAACAGATCTCGCGCTTCTTGGTTCTTTTGGCGTTCGCCAGGAGAATCGGTGGTTAAATATTTCATCGACATTAAGGCACCGGTGGGTCGGGTATGTTCGTTCTTTTTATGAACCGGAAGCTCGCTGTCACGTCAAAGACTGGAGCACCACCTGGTGGCGTTTGCAAATAAAGGGTCTATAGCTAAATTACTCAAGCATCAAGGAGACAAAAATCAAAGGAAATAACGAAAATAAGCGTCGACGAACGCGCGTGCAAGATGCCGTGTTTTAGGCTTTTACTTTAAAACCACTACTGCTGCAGACGTCAGCAGGTGCGGCGTGTAGACCAACATTCTCTGGATTCTCCTTGATGCTATAATTTAGCGATAGGTGTATTCAGCAGTAGGATGGCAGAGCTCGTATAAAGCCGGTGCAAGACATGTTAACACACCATTTAAATCCTTCGCGTGCAACATGCGCACGAAGGTGACTTAGGGACGCTCGCAAAATCACGTGCTTGCTTGCGCGAACAGAGCGGCGGGCAGGCAGCCGTCGGCATCGGTGTCGGCGTAACCAAGCGAGTTGCATTATGGGAATACTGCAAGCGGGCGCAACCGCTCGTTGCGTTATGGGAACATTTCCGCGTTAAACATAGAGGGAAAATTTTTGCTAAATTTCCTGCTAAATTTAGCGGGGAAATGTTACCGCGAAATTTATCAGAAAATTTTTCTACTAATCTTGGCGGAAAAATTTCCAAACCAAACTTACCGGAAAAGTTTCACCGCTATTTTTAGCTCAAAAATTCTCCCTTAAATTCAGCGGACCGATTTCCCCGCTAAATGTAGCGTAAAACCTTCCCGCTATATTTAGGGGAAGATTGTACCGAACAAATTTTTCAGAACATTTCCCGCTAAATTTAGCTAAAAACTGTCCCTGCTAAATTTAGCGGGAAAAGTTCCCAGCTAAATTTAGCGGGGAAATGATGCCGCTAAATTGAGCGAAAATTTTCTTTTTGAATTTATCGAAAAACTTTCCCGCAAAAATTAGCGAATATTAGGGAGTTTTAGAATAACGTGCGCAATTTTAGCGCACGCTACCGCTAAATTTAGCGCTTGTATTTAGAATAGCGTTTCTCGGTCGCGACGCAGAAACTCAACCATCTCGCACTTGCGACGCCACCAAGATACAGTAACAATTTTTATTTCACACACGAAATGCTGTAACTTTAGAAGAAATCGAGTTTTTTGGTCCAGAGTACTAATTTAGATTTGTTTAAACGTGAGAATGCGACGCCTGCGGCTGACCGGCCGTGTCCGCTCGCGTCGCCTCGGCCTTCGCACATCGTACCTTCGCTGAGAAATGTTCGCGCGTCACAAGCATCAAGCTGCCGGTGCTCGTTGCCAAACCGAGTACAATGTCGTCCCGTATTGAAAATCGCAGTCGCGAGGATGCCGCCGACGTCGCACTCACGACGCCGCCAAAGCAGCCGCCGACACAATCCTGGAAGCCGCCATTTTTGTTTACCTCTGCTCGTCTTGACTTTAGCCAACTTGTCATCACGAATCCTCCTTGGAGAAGCGCAAAGACTCTTTGTGTACGCACGCTATTTCTGAGAAATAGCGCACGCTAAAATTGCGCACGCAAAGCGCAAAACCTGGTTTGCGTTCGGAGCATGCGCAGTGGCGACGACGCTATTCTTTGCGTACGCAAAGCTTTAGCTGCGCTATTCTAAAACTCCCTATTTTCTGCTAAATGGGACGGGAGCCGCGGAGGAGTAGGGGAGGGTGCGGAGCGGCAGGAGGGGGCATATCCTTTCCTCCGTACCCTCCCCTTTTCCTCCTCAAGAGCTGCGCTCTAATTCGGCAATTTCAAACGTCTTTCATTTTTAGTGAAGTTTCAGAGACGGTGCTAAAACACGTTAATTATTTATTTCCGAGTTCCAGTAACGATTTATTTTTTAAAATTCTGTTTTTAACCTTTTCAGGATGGCCGTGAATTTGGAGGAGGAGGCGCTTGAGAAATGCGTAAAGAATAAAAACGTACTGCCCCAATGCGGTTTGGATATGCTCAAGGCTTCGCTCGCGTAAGACACTATTCAGTAATTATATTACCTATTTGTTTACGGGTGCATAAAGATAAAACGGGGGTCATACAAATATGACTCCAATCTGCCCCTTCCCATTTCTTATCAGAGTAGCCGAACCAAAACAAATCCTACGTTTTTTTTTTATTTGTTTTTATTTATATACAAGCTAATTACATTATCGGAATACCCAGACGTACAATTTCCAGCCTGTTTTTTTTTATTTCTAAATACAAGATATATATTAAAAAATTCGGCAAAGTTCACATTTATACATTTTACTGCGCTTTCCAGCGACGCATAGCATAATCCAGGCTACAAAGTATGGAACTAGGCTTCGACGTTTACCGAAATAAAATGCTCTATTAAAATTCCAGTGCCTTTACGCTACCGCGTAACATGTGTCGCAGCGACAGTAACTCGTTGCTTGCGTCAATCGCTATCACTGCGGCGCAATTCTCGCTTCTGTAATGGACAGGATTCTGAAGATTTCTACGACAGTCTTGATTCCGCTTTGTATTCCGCTTGGGTGCCTCATCTGTTCCTTGTCTGCTACGACGCACCTCCTTAGAACGCCTGAACTGAAATCTGCATTCCTCCCCAGAGATCTCTGCAGCTTTCGCTGCACATTGTTCTGCCCCAATTGCTTGGCGCCACCGAAGTTTGTGTTCGTGTTGTCTGCGCAAAGACCCACAACCTTCGTCTGCAAGGAATATTTCTCAATCACCGTATTGAGATACGAAGTTTGGAGGTTGGATGTTTCGCCACTGAAAGAAGAGGACTCCAGCACTCTTGTTTGTACCCCGCTTTTTGGATCAAAGCACCTCACCAGCATAGGAAACAAATTTTGCTCTTTCTTGTTCGACGCATCCACACTCAGCGTGACGTAGGAACAGTCGTTGAGACTTGCTGTCAGTTCTTTCAACGAAAAGGGTGCCAAGACATTTCAGATTATAGCTTCGCACTTTGTACGCGCACTAGAGTACTTTGGCTGGAAAAGTTTTTTAATCAGTTGCGACGTACAGTCTAGACCAAAACGTCTGCAAGTGTCTGAAAGTGTGGTAGGCGAACGCTTGTTGGATCGAAAAATCGCTTTTCGATCAACAAGCGTTGAAGTTGGCAAAAAGGTAGGCCTTGCGCTTCTACCAAGTCAGCTTCAGTGCGCAGCGATTTACGTTTACGTTGACACTTATTTTTACTTTGTTTCAAAGCCGCGTACCCCAACACTGCTTTCGACCAAGAGGACAGGAAGTTTCCCAAGTCACGAGCTTGCCTGGCGACATCGTCAATTTGTCGGAACTCTGCAAAGCAATGTATCCCGACGAACCGAAAATGCAACACTGTTTCGTAAGTTTGTCTTACCTTTGCTGAGCCCTTTTAGTTTCATATACGGTTGTCATGAGGGGCTGGTTCACACATTTGCGTACGAATGTCATCGAGTGTTTGCTCGCTTCAAACCGCTCCGAAAAATCTTCGTTCACACACTGGCGCCATCCAGCGGGTAGCGCTGTAACGCATCGATCTGCCTATGACCAGACCATGGTGCAAGATACAAAAATGCGCGACGATCACACGACGTGATGCGTTTAGACAGCGGGAGCATGGTTGTATGATGTGTTTTCCCGCCAAATCTTGCGGGGAAACTTAATTTGTGCATAGGTCACGTGATTTACGGGTTTCAGTTGAGCCAGTTGGTGCATGTTACTTGGACTGGGGCCAGCTGAACAGAACGTTCAGCTGGCCCCAGTCCAAGTAGGTCACGTGCCGCCGATTTTCCGCTAAATTTATTAGGGAACTTGGATTCGTCTGTAGGTCTGCCGCGTCAGGTCACGTGACATCAATTTTCCCGCCAAATTTAGCGGGGAAAATGAATTGGTGCGTAGGTTGCGTGACGTAATTTGTTTCTTCTAGCTGGTAACCTGAATGTTTAAATGTGATGCGTTTAGATATGTAGACGTCAGGTCACGTCACATTAAATTTCCCGCCAAATTTAGCGGGGAAACTGCTCGTTTACGGTCAGGCCGTCTCAAAACTGGGGGATGGGTGACTACCGACTGCCGCTGTAACAGATATAGGTGAGGAAACACAGCACCGCGAACGCTGCGACGCGAGCGACCCCGTAAAGTCCTCTTGGCGCACGTTCGAGTAGCTTCAGCCTACAGCGTCTCCACCGTGCAGTCACGGCACTCATGGCCACTCTTCACGCCATTTAACATCATGTTTCTATTGTTGGAAGAATAATTTAGCGTTTATTTTTATTGTCTCAACCTTATGTAGAGCTTCCCGTCGGTGAAATAAATGAAATAAAATGGAAATAAGCTCAGAGCAAAGAAACGTATCTCGTGCGAACACGCGTTTCCCCCCCTCCCCCCCTCCGGCTTCAACGCCGCATCAGAGATCTATCCTATTCAACGCCTCCATAAAACTGTTATTGCCGCCGTTGAGGCACCAACAAAAGCGTCAATAACGAAGCACTCGCTAAGGGCTCTGTTATACTCCGACGTAACGCGTGCGCGCGTGCGAGCGCGTCACAGCGACGTCACGTCGGCGAAAACCCGACGCTCTATATACTCCGGCGTGGTGGCGCAACCGGCGCGACCGGCGGCGTTCGACGCAGCCTGACCGGATCGACGCCAAGATGGAGCATCCCGTATTCCGCGCCGGCCGCGCCAGCGACGCCGGACCAGGATGCATCACGCGCTGGCTTCCGGCAGCCCTCGCGCAGGCGACAGGAGCACCACTCCGTGTGCCGTCATGTTTGAAGAATCGGACTTGGTCGGTCGAGAAGCTGATCGAGGGAATTCGTCCTCACCCGTGTGTCTACGGCACGAGGAAGCTTGAGTACAGAAGACCGTGCGCTTGTCAAAGATGTACCGTATGTACATTGACCGCCTACGCTTGCGGCGCAGGCGGTGCACCAACAGTGCAAGCGCGAGTTTTCGTCGTGCAAGGTACGTCCACGCCATCGCTCGAACTTGGCGCTCAAGAAGCGCAAGAATTTTCGTCTGCTCTTCAAAACGAAAAGGAACCGGAAGTGGCGCAATTTCGCAAGAAACGTGCCCTCGTAGTCAGATTTTGCGCATGCGCCGCGCCGGCAGCCCACCGACACCCGCCGCGGGAGCCGCCGGAGTATAAAGAGGCCGAATTTTCGACGCGCGCAGCGTGACTGACGTTACGTAGCCGACTTCGGCCAGCGTTCGCTTGGGCGCGCGTTACGTCGGAGTATAACAGAGCCTTAAGCACTAGGGGCAGCTCAAGTGGCTTACATGGCGCTGCGTGCCCCAAAAAACACTTTAAAAACAAGCATGTCTCACTCACATTGAGATGAGAAGCATGGAAAACCGGGTCTGTGTCCGCCTGCCGCGTTAGCCGCATATCGGAGAGCCATCTGGTGGCGTCGCTTGCAACCAAAGCGAGGAGTGGACTTTATCTGGCAGCTGCGATGCGCGCGGTGTCCATATCTCGAACCGTAAACCGGACTGCAGGTTTCACAGTATTTGCAAGATCAAATCTACGAACTATCTATGAGCAATAGTCACTTCTCTTGGTGGTATCAAAACTGTTAAAAGCAGAAACAATCATGCGTAATATATAATAGCATATTGAAAGTGTTCCAGTGCTACCTGGTAGATAGCACCAGTGTGCCAGTCCTTTTCAAGCTTCTTGCTGCGCTTCTGAAGCGCGAATTTCATCAAGAGACTTTAAAGGAGCCATGATATGGTTTTTCAACTATTTCCTCCTTAGCTTTCCACCTCAACTCAAAAGAAAAAGGAGAAATCACGCGGTCGCGACGTGCTTGGACACCGGAGGCGTTGGCTCCAAGCTTCCACCATGCTTTTTAAGCGCACCAAAAAATTTTTTCTTCAAAATTGGTGATAAGTGACGTCACTGCACTCATCGGCCACGAACGCGAATCCAAAAATTCGTCGATAGGTTGATTGTTGACGAGCGCATACCTACGAGTGACGCAAAGCTCGTGTCCAATGCGTGAGCTGGTGCATAGGCTGACGTGCTTTGGGTACCGCGAGTGTATCACAGTAAAAAGGCGGAAATATTTCGAAAGAAAGGGCGTACAAAATAGTCTGCTATATATTCAAAATTTCGTACCGAAAGGCAGCCTTTTAACTTTCTGCCCCATTTCTTTTGGGCCACTAAAGGATACACGATTAGTAAAATCAAAATGTAAAATTATATATCCCGGTCCATAATTCATTTCATGGCCCTCCTCTGGTCGTAATGGCGCGTACAAGCGAGCACACCATCAATACCACCTAGAAAACGCCTTGTCTTCTAGGTGGTATCGTCGTCACTGGTGGACCAACGCAGCGCCACCTAGCTTGCGTCCGCATCGCGGTCAGCGCGTCTTGCAGCGTCTCACAACGAGCGCGATGCACTAACATGGCCACTTCAAGAGGGAGACGTCGAGTTCTTGCATTGCGACTCGACATTAGTCGAGTCCCGACTCGCCTCTCGCCTCACCTCGTCTCGACTCGCTTCGCTTCGACTTGACTCGCTCGCCTCGCCTCGGATTGATTCGCTCGCCTCGACTCGACTCGACTGGCCTTTACTCGACTGGACTCGCCTCGACTCGACTCAATTCGATTCGCCCCAACTCGGCTCGCCTTGACTCGACTCCATTCGACTCGTCTCAACTCGACTCGCCTTGACTCGACTCGCCTGGATTTGACACGACTCGCCTCGACTTCACTCGTCTCGACTCGATTCGCCTCGACTGGACTCGCCTCGCCTCGCCTCGTCTCGACTCGCTTCGCCTCGACTTGACTCGCTCGCCTCACCTCGGATTGATTCGCTCGCCTCGCCTCGACTCGACTGGCCTTTACTCGACTGGACTCGCCTCGACTCAATTCGATTCGCCCCAACTCGGCTCGCCTTGACTCGACTCCATTCGACTCGTCTCAACTCGACTCGCCTTGACTCGACTCGCCTGGATTTGACACGACTCGCCTCGACTTCACTCGTCTCGACTCGATTCGCCTCGACTGGACTCGCCTCGCTTCGCCTCGACTTGACTCGCTCGCCTCGCCTCGGCTTGATTCGCTCGCCTCGACTCGAGTGGCCTTTACTCGACTGGACTCGCCTCGACTCGACTCAATTCGATTCGCCCCAACTCGGCTCGCCTTGATTCGACTCCATTCGACTCGTCTCAACTCGACTCGCCTTGACTCGACTCGCCTGGATTTGACACGACTCGCCTCGACTTCACTCGTCTCGACTCGATTCGCCTCGACTGGACTCGCCTCGCTTCACCTCGTCTCGACTCGCTTCGCCTCGACTTGACTCGCTCGCCTCGCCTCGGCTTGATTCGCTCGCCTCGACTCGACTCGACTGGCCTTTACTCGACTGGACTCGCCTCGACTCGACTCAATTCGATTCGCCCCAACTCGACTCGCCTTGACTCGACTCCATTCGACTCGCCTCAACTCGACTCGCCTTGACTCGACTCGCCTGGATTTGACACGACTCGCCTCGACTTCACTCGTCTCGACTCGATTCGCCTCGACTGGACTCGCCTCGCCTCGCCTCGACTCGCCTCGCTTCGCCTCGACTTGACTCGCTCGCCTCGCCTCGGCTTGATTCGCTCGCCTCGACTCGACTGGCCTTTACTCGACTCGACTCGCCTCGACTCGACTCGATTCGATTCGCCCCAACTCGACTCGCCTTGACTCGACTCCATTCGACTCGTCTCAACTCGACTCGCCTTGACTCGACTCGCCTGGATTTGACACGACTCGCCTCGACTTCACTCGTCTCGACTCGATTCGCCTCGACTGGACTCGCCTCGCCTCGCCTCGACTCGCCTCGCTTCGCCTCGACTTGACTCGCTCGCCTCGCCTCGGCTTGATTCGCTCGCCTCGACTCGACTCGACTGGCCTTTACTCGACTCGACTCGCCTCGACTCGACCCGATTCGATTCGCCCCAACTCGACTCGCCTTGACTCGACTCCATTCGACTCGCCTCAACTCGACTCGCCTTGACTCGACTCGCCTGGATTTGACACGACTCGCCTCGACTTCACTCGTCTCAACTCGATTCGCCTCGACTGGACTCGCCTCGCCTCGCCTCGACTCGCCTCGACTCGCCTCGCCTCGACTCGCCTCGACTCGACCCTCCTCGACTCGACTCGACCCTCCTCGACTCGACTCGACCCGCCTCGACTCGACTCCACTCGATTCGCCTCGACTGGACTCGTCTCGACCCCACTCCTATTATCGGAAAACGAACAGCGCAGGACAAGGACAGAGTAGAAGGCGGTAGACACAAACAGCGCTGTGTGTGTCTACCGCCTTCTACTCTGTCCTTGTCCTGCGCTGTTCGTTTTCCGATAATATGAATGACCAACTAGCCCAATCGTCAACACTACTGAACCCCACTCCCCTCGACTCGAATCGCCTCGCCTCGACTCGAATCGCCTCGACTCGATTCGCCTCGCCACGACTCGACTCGACTCGATTCGCCTCGACTGGACTCGCCTCGACTCGACTCGCCACGACTCGACTCGGCTCGACGACGCGATTCGACTCTCCTTGACTCGACCCGCCTCGACTCGACTCGCCTCGACTCGACTCGCCTCGACTCGATTCGCCTCGACCGGACTCCCCTCGACTCGACTCGACTCGCCTCGACTCGACCCTCCTCGACTCGACTCGACCCTCCTCGACTCGACTCGACCCGCCTCGACTCGACTCCACTCGATTCGCCTCGACTGGACTCGTCTCGACCCCACTCCTATTATCGGAAAACGAACAGCGCAGGACAAGGACAGAGTAGAAGGCGGTAGACACAAACAGCGCTGTGTGTGTCTACCGCCTTCTACTCTGTCCTTGTCCTGCGCTGTTCGTTTTCCGATAATATGAATGACCAACTAGCCCAATCGTCAACACTACTGAACCCCACTCCCCTCGACTCGAATCGCCTCGCCTCGACTCGAATCGCCTCGACTCGATTCGCCTCGCCACGACTCGACTCGACTCGATTCGCCTCGACTGGACTCGCCTCGACTCGACTCGCCACGACTCGACTCGGCTCGACGACGCGATTCGACTCTCCTTGACTCGACCCGCCTCGACTCGACTCGCCTCGACTCGACTCGCCTCGACTCGATTCGCCTCGACCGGACTCCCCTCGACTCGACTCGACTCGCCTCGACTCGACTCGACTCGACTCGCCTCGACTCGACTCGCCTCGACTCGACTCGACACGCAATAGACGCCGCTTTGCGGCAACTAATGTGGAGCTCCGGCGTGCTCTCCGCTTTGGGGTGGGTTGGTTGGGGATCCAGTAATCAGACGTCATCCGCAGGCTTGATAAAAATTTCGTTTTAAGTTTTCACAAAGTTATTAAAATATTGGTCGGTATGTGCAAAACTCGTAACATTTTATTTTGTTTTTACCTGCTTTAGGTTTTTTCTTAATTTAATTTCGCCGCAGGTGTTCTTGTTGTCTGCAAAACATGCATGCCGTCTTTCTCACCTATGCTGTAACGTCGGTGCCTTCCGTGAGCTCGCACAATTTTGCGCGCCCTCCGTTGGATTTTTGAGAAATTTGGCAACCAACAGTTGCCAAAGGAAACCAAACGTGTGCAGGCACAAGTGAAGCAGGAGAACCGGGACTCCCCATTGTTGCCGTTTACCAGGTGGTTAGCTAGCTTACCGTCGTAAGCGTGCAGGGGTCAGGATTTAGCCCAGGATTCATTAATTCTGCAGCGCAAGTTTTCGCAATACCTGTCTTTCAAGCTGTGGTGCGCCACCACCAAAACCACCCCGGCCCAGAACCCGGTCCAAATGTAATTTGACTTCATGCCGTAGCGTGTCCGTGCTGTTATTTCGGTATATCGTGCCCGTGCTATGACTTTTTAGCACCAGAAGAATTTACGTGTCAATGACCTCAATTCTGAAGCGCTGCTGAAATTCCCGGCATTTCTTAAATCGACACCGCATATTTGTGTCAATCGCAAGACGAATAGAATTTTACAAAATCGACCATGGTTCGATTTACCTTGTGATACTCTTGTTACAAGGGCACGCTTAACCAAAGTTAATTCATATTTAACTGCTGTTACGCTGAACCACGTTTACCGCACTATACTCATAGCTATTTCAGAACAATGATGCTCAAGTGAACGTGCGCCCATAGCTTTGACAGCATAGCCACAAAATGTCCGCCAGTATTGTAGGCCAACTGGGGCTTAGCGTAACTGCAGTTAAGTGTGTCCGTGTAACAAGGGTATAAGTCGGTCCGAGTGCTCCAGTCGAAGCGCTGACGAGTATACCTGGTATTGGCAGAGCGCACTCAATCACATTCAACCGCAAACGTGTGAATCAGACTTCGCTCTCAACGGCCTTGCAACTGGCTGTTGATTTTCGTCAGACTGATGCTGACAACAGCAACGGAATTTCAAATATGTCTAAATAAACCAATCAATCAATCAGTTTTATATCAGACACAAATCCGACTTTTTTTTTCTAAAATCTGGATTCTGTCTAACTTGCTGCATATCACAAACCCACAACACGCCCGATCTTCTTTGACTAAGTCGCTTCCGATGTTGGATGTAAGAATTGAGATTGCGCAGCCTCCTTTTAACACAGAATGCGTTTTATGGGTCGTTTTCTACGAGAAAATTGTCACGAACAATCGACACGCTGAGAACATTACACGATGCAGTTTCCCCGTTAAATTTAACGGGGAAATTGACGTCGTGACTTGAGGTCACGTGATCTCTACACCGATCAGTTCTTTTCGCTAAATACAGAAGGAGGAATCGACGTCACTTGACCCAATGCCACGCCGATGGACCAATAAACTAATCAAAATTTCGTCTTAAATTTAGCGTGGTAATCGACATCACGTGACCTAAACACCAATCCGGTTTCTTGGCTAAATATAGAGTGAGAAATTGACGTTCTGTGACCAAACAACTAATTCAATTTTTCTCTTAATTAAAAAAAAAAGATTGTGGTTTATGCGAGACACATTCGGTACTCCCTTGTCTTTGCTACCATGATCAAACTTGTGGAATGTTTTTTTATAGAAATTAAAACGCCCTCTTCGCGTGTTCCGTTGTCACTGTCCTAAACTGGGCCGCGTAATGCGACTCTTCGTGTGTTTTTCTTTGTATATCAAGGAACACGAGGACACTGGGATGCATCGCTTCTATACAGTGTACAAATGCGAGTTAACCTGCTGTGTCTGGAAGAGCAGTCTGGATAGAAAATTGCGTGTAGCTGCATCAATACAAGGTCTTCGATGCGGTACCAAAAATCAGGTAAGCGTCCCTTTTCAGAACTGTTCCCTCTCCTTTCTAGACAGAATAGTTTTTTGGCAGACAAGATTAAAAAAGAGTACTAGGCCACTTACTGCGATTGTCTATTTATGGTCAGAATTTAGTCTACGGGCCTTAAAAAACAAAAAAAAACATTAAATTCAAACCTGGCTGATATCTTTACTACAGTCGGTATCAAAGGTCGAGACACAAGAGACAGGGCGCCGTTGGTCGAGGTCTGAGGAAGGGCAGAGCCTTGTCCTTCTTCGAGCGACGGTGCCTTTTGGTTTCGGCAATAGTTCCGATATATTCGATCTTTGTTACTAATTTTAATAAATAAATCGGCCACACATGAATGTAACACTTGATTTTTTAGGATGCTTAGGGACCATATGTAATTTAGGTTATGACCATAAATAGACTATCGCAGAAAGTGGTTTTAAGGCGTTCCCACACCTGCGACTGGTTACTGTAGTGGGCGGGTTCGAGCCGAGGCGGCCGAGGTGACGGCCAGAGCCAAGGGCCGCGGAGGAATGACACAGCTGACGCTCCGAGTGCTCGGACGGAAAAAAGCCCCTGTTTATTCATGCACACCCTTTTTACATACACCCTATAGGGCGCCCCGTAGCTCACTGCGCCTACACGCCCTCTACATCCCCCCTTTATGGAAAAAAATGAGAGCCACACTTAGCTCTTAAGGAACGTAATGAATGACCTAAGCCACATGGTGCGCTACAAGTTCAGCCGCACCGGTGGCCTAACGCAGCGTCCAGACCTAGTGCGCACACCGGACGCAGGCAGCCTTGAGGGAGCAGCAGGGGACCCCTCTGGCAATGCAACTGGTAGAGGACTAGCTGCCCTGGGAGTGGGACTGCCGCACGCAGGCTCTGGGCGAAGTGGAGACCGTGGTAGACCTTGGGATTTCTGCGGCCCTGGTGCAGAGCTGCCGAGGTCGCAGCCACCCGTTGCTGGAGAGTGCTGCGGTACCAGATGTCTTCGGTTGCGGACGAGGGCACCTGCATCCGTCTGGACCACGTAGGAGCGTGGACGCTGTGCTGGGCTAAGGACTGTGCCAGCACAATCTGCGTCGCGTATCGACACTCTCTCCCCCTCCCCCAAGGGACGCAAAGCATGCACAGCATGCCGGCGGTTGAAATCCTGACGCTGGCGACGTCGTTGGGCAGTGTCGCGCCTGTGGAAATCAGCCGCGACAGGTGATCCTGGAACCAACATGGCGGTTGGGACTGGGAGGCGGGTCCGGAGGCTGGGCCCCATAAGCAGCTGAGCGGGGCTGTACCCAGTCGCCCCCGGTGCGTTACGGTAGGACAAGAGGGCCAAGGGCCAGTCTGGGGACTTCTTGAAAAGTTCCTTGACAGTCCGCACCATCCGCTCGACTTCACCGTTGGACTGGGGATACCTGGGACTGCTGGTGACGTGGGAGAAGTCGTAGCTCTGGGAGAAGGCACGGAATTCTGCTGATGAAAACTGAGGTCCATTATCGCTGACAAGGGTCTCCGGGATACCATGTCTTGCGAAGACACTTTTGATAATGGAGATCACCGCCGTGGATGTCGTCGTGCGGAGGGACAGCACTTCTGGGTACCTCGAGTAGTAGTCAACGAGGAGAAGGTAGTCTGTAACTTCGTGATGAAAAATGTCCACACCGACTCTCTCCCAGGGGCGGCTAGGCGTCACTGTAGGGAGCAGCGGCTCTGCTCGCTGGACCCGAGTGGTGGCGCAGTTGGGACAGTTCTCCACCACTGCCTTTATCTGGCTACCCATGGTCGGCCACCAGACAGCCTCTCTGGCGATGGCGCGGCAGCGGTTCACTCCCAGGTGTTTGTCGTGGATGAGGGACAGGATGTGTTTCCGCAGAGAAGCAGGCACCAGTAGACGTCCTCCGCAGAGGAGGAGGTCGTCGCCGACACTGAGTTCAGCGCGATGGCCCCAAAACTGAGCCATGCTGACCGGTAGACTTTCTTTCCGGGGCCACCCTTGCTCGCAGTACGCCCTCAGCTGAGCGCACTCCCAATCCGCAGCCTGGTGGGCACGGAAGTCTTCGAGGAGGACCGCAAACGTGGGAGGGATAGCGCGGAGCGCTTCTTGAACGTAGAGCTCAACCTTGTCGATGGCTGGAGTCGTTGGCAGCTGGTCGACCGGGTCCCGCGAGAGTGCATCTGCGGTAGCCAACTGTTTCCCAGGCACATACTTGACAACAAACTGGTACTGAAGGAGACGGATACGAAAGCGCTGGATCCGGGGTGGCATGAGGTCAACGTCCGCGGTTCCAAGAAGCTTGACCAACGGCTGATGGTCAGTCTCCAGGGTGAAACGAAGGCCCCACAGAAACTCGTCGAAGCGGTTAATGGCCCAGGTGGCAGCCAGTGCCTCTTTTTCGATCTGGCTGTACCTTTGTTCCGTTTCTGTCAGTGCAGGGGAGGCGTATGCAACTGGTCTGCGATCCCCTGATGGCTGGTCTTGAAGAAGCACTGTACCCAGCCCGAAGGAACTGGCATCTGCGGAGACGGTCGTCGGGAGTGCAGGGTTGTACCTTGCGAGGCAGATGTCCGAGGACAGCATGGTCTTAAGCTTCTCAAACGCTGAGGCTTGCGCTGGTCCCCACGTCCAGGCTGCAGTCTTCTACAGGAGGCTTCGGATCGGTGCAGTCGTCTGAGAGAGGTCTGGGAGGAAGCGACCGAGATGGTTGAGCATACCCAGAAAGCGTTGGACACCATGAATGTCCCGAGGAGCTGGCATACACTGAATGGCCGCCACCTTGTCTGGATCAGGAGCAATGCCGTTGGCTCCGACGACGACACCAAGGAACTTCACGCTTGACACGCCAAAACTGCACTTGGCGGCGTTGAGGGTGACCCCCACTTGTTGGAGGCGACCGAGGACTGCTTGGAGGCACTGGTCGTACTCTTCCGTGGTGCGACCAAACACGAGGATGTCGCCCATGAGGTTAACGACGCCGGCCAACCCTTCCAGCAGGCGAGACATCTGACGCTGGAAATATTCCGGGGCCGACGTAATGCCGAATGGGAGGGGGCAATAGCAGTACCTGCCAAACGGAGTGATGAAGGTCGTATACTTCTGGGAGACCCAGGTCAAACGTACTTGATGGAAGCCTGCAGTTGCGTCCAACTTCGAAAAAACGCAGGCATCCCCGAGAAGTCCGAGGGTTTGGTCGACGGTCGGGAGTACGTGGCGCTCACGCAGAACGACTTGATTGAGCTCGGTCAAGTCGACGCAAAGCCGGTAACCCCCCGCTGGCTTCGGTACGACGACAAGGCCGGCACACCAGTCCGTCGGTTCGTTGACGCGCTGGATCACGCCCTCCTGCTCCATCTTGTCGAGCTCCTTCTTGACTACGTCTCGTAGGGGTATCGGGATACGCCTGGCTGCGCTGAGGGAATACGGTACCGTGCCCGGCTTGATGCGGATCGTGTACTCGTCCGGGAACGTGCCCAGGCCGGCGAAAAGGCCTGGAGAGACTTTCCGAGGTGGTGTGTCCGGGAGAGCAGCGGTCCGGGCCGCTGCGACTGCGCCGACAAACTTGACAACGCCAAGGGCGACGATAGCGGGATAGCCGAGAAGGGGCAGCTCATGTCCAGCAACGACGTAGAGGCGCTCGTTGACGTGTTTGCCTCGCCAAGACAGCGCCGCAGAGAAGGTGCCGAGAACCTTCAGGGGTTGTTTCCCCGGACCGAAAAGTTCCTCGCCACGTGGCTTGTCGAGGACAACTGGGCAGCCAAGAAACGAGCTCGGAACCACCGAAACGTCGGCGCCAGAGTCCACCTTGAAGACGAGAGGGCGCCCGTTGACCTGGACCTCAACGTACCGCCCGTTCCGAGTTACCGCCGCAACGGAGTGGAGCTCCACGGAACCGAGGCACTTCTTTGAGCGACACACTGACGAAAAGTGACCTCGCTTCTTGCAGTGGTTACAGACCGCTTTCGCAGCTGGGCAGTCCGACCGTCGGTGATACTCATGACCGCAGAAGAGGCACTGCGCACTTTGGCTGCTTCTAGAAGCTTCTCAAACATTGCTGGTTCGAGAACTTTCGGGCCTGTCACGTGACGCAGAGTTGCCAGAGTCCCGTTGGTCCCGTCTGAGGTCCCGTCCATGTGCGCGCTGCACTGGTTTACGCGAAGTCGCCGCGTCCACGTGCGCTGTCGGTTGACCAGCTGTGAGGGACAGGCGTTGCTTCTCTCGCTCGGCGTCTTCGTGCTGACGGGCTTGCACCAGTGCGTCGTCCAGGGAGAGGCTCGGTGTGCGGCACACCTTGTCCGAGAGACGAGAATCTGCCAAACCCACGACGAAACGGTCGCGAACAAGACGGTCTTCAACGGCTGGTGACGCATAGTTACACTTGCGCACCATGTACCGAAAGGCCGTGAAGAAGCTGTCGACGGTCTCGCCTGGCTGTTGCGTCCGCTTTTCGAACCGGGAGCTCTCGTACACCTCCTTTATGGGGTGCACGAAGTAGCTTGTGAGCCAGCGGGTGACTTCTGCGTAGGACTGGTAGGCCTCTTCGTCGGACATCAGCGAACTGAGGACGATGCGTGCCCGTGGACCCATGCAATAGAGGCGGGTCCTGACTCGTGTCTCGTCCGGCGCCACGTGCATGCCGGTGGCGAAGGCGTAGTCTTCGAATTGCTGCAACCACGGAAGCCACTCGCCGGCATCGTCGAAAGAGAACGGGGCCGGACTCCGGAGACTGGCGGCAGCAAGGGCAGGAACCGGAGCGTCCTTAGCAGCCATGTCGAACCGCGCGAACAGGGCACCCCACTCCTGACACCATGTAGTGGGCGGGTTCGAGCCGAGGCGGCCGAGGTGACAGCCAGAGCCGAGGGACGCGGAGGAATGACACAGCTGACGCTCCGAGTGCTCGGGCGGAAAAAAGCCCCTGTTTATTCATGCACACCCTTTTTACATACACCCTAGAGGGCGACCCGTAGCTCACTGCGCCTACACGCCCTCTACAGTTACGACCGGAGAGATTAAAGGCCTGTTCACACATTTGCGTTTTACTAAGACCGACAGAGACAAGGGCGGTTTTAAGCCTCTTGTAACGACTTACAACCGGCTGCATGGCTGCACAGCTGGTCGTAAACCGTCACAAGAGGCTTAAACACCGGTCTTGTCTCAGTGGGTCTTAGTCAAATGCAAGTCCTCACTCATCCGCGTCGTGCCTCTTTTTGTGACACTCAAACATTTGATGTTGTCTCGTGTTTGGCTGATTTTATGCAAGTGTATATTCACTTGTGAGCTTGTGTTTCTGCTTATTTGTACATTGTGTACACAAGTACCAAGTCATCTTATACGCAAATGTACTATACCCCCCCCCCCTGCTATAATGCCTCTGGCGCTGCGGAGTAAACTGCAATAAATAATTGAAGTGTGTGAACGGGCCTTAAAGGGGCACTGACACCCCAAAGGTCGTATTTATTTTTATTGTCTAAAACGATGCAAGTTGCAGTCATAGACACGCAAAAAAAAAAACGCATCGCGAAAAAACATTTTCCCGCGAGCGCGCGCGCCTTTTTATTTTTGGCGTTTGATTCTCCCGCCTCTGCCTGCTCGCTTCTTTTGATTTGCGACGTCAAGAATCATGAAATTTAGAAGCTCTGTTGGCGACATTTCTATAACATTTAATAACGGCAGTCGTAAAACATGTTTTTTAACGCAATTGCGAACGCACTACGGCCCTTCTTTTTGAAATACCAAAAATCGGGAGTTCGTTGTGGTGCCGTCTCCTGGACTTGTATCCTCCAACGGAAAACAGGCGACACCGCACAAAACCGGTCCGCCGCAACGCCGGCGCTCGCTCCTTTCCTCCTCGCTTTGGGTCGCCATGGCAACAACAGGGAGTGGTGAAAGAAAGTGGACTCTCAGGACTCCGCAATATTTGACGTCAAAACACCGGCGCCGTTTGCGCGGGAACTTCGAATTCGGCATTTGGAAATTGTTTTTTTACTTCCCAAATACTGAATTCCCAAATTTCAAGTTTTGAGGGTAATGTCCCGGGGCAACGTTTTCAATCGTTTCGGATAATAAAAAAAAATATGTTTTTGATATGTCACTGCCCCTTTAATTAGGCAGTGGCAGGTCAAAATCATTTTTTCTTATTATCCGAAACGATTGAAAATGATGCCTCGACATTCCGCTGAAAACTCGAAACTTGGGAACTCAGTATTTGAGAAGTAAAAAAACAATTTCCAAAAGTCAAAATTGAAGTTCCCGCGTGATCCGCGAAAGTGCAGTGACGTCAAAGACTGAGTCGTTCTGCAACTCCAGTTTCTCTCACTCCTCCGCGTCGCGTTCGCCTGCGTCCCGCGATCAACCACTCCGTGCGGGCCGTCTATCGCGCGAGCAGACGACGCACGACAGTGACGAGGAAGCCTTTCTGCTTGCACGGCTGATGTCCTCGCCGAAAACGAACGCGCGCTCCGCAACGTTCAGGTTCCTTGAGGAGCCTGTACGTTCTTTTTGCCGTGCACAACAGAAAACGTGTCCCGTTTGTGCAGCCATTAACGCGTTCTACTCTATTTGCAGTTTTGCGTCAACGGCGCTTGCTACAACCGTGAAGAATGGATCAAGGAGCACCTTCCTAATGGTTCCCTCGACATCCGTCCAGACGTTCCGCGCAAGAGACCGTTTTAAAGTGATTTAATGCACGCAATAAAATGGTGACTGAACAACCCTCGAACACGTTTTTGTCTACATCTCCCTAAAGATAAACAAGAGATACGGAGTAAAGCACCCAATCAACAGTTCCCACATTCCTACTCCATGTCGCTCGCACTCATCTCTATGAGGAGTTTTCAGGATTTGATCTTGCTTTTCCGCTCCATGATTGCGGACACCGGAAATTCTCGATCGGCCATCGCCAGGTTGGGGAGTCCGGCTATAGGAAGCGAGCGGGCCGCGTCGCGGCGGTCGCGGATTGTTCGCCGCCACCTAGCGGTAGCCGTGCAGAATCATCGGGGGCAAGCAATGGCGACGAGCAGCAGAACGAAGTGCTTCCGTGGTGATTACGACTGGGTTTAAGGCGGTTACAAATGCAGAAAGCTTCTACCGAGGTGACAATATGACGAAGAGAAAAGTCCTCCATAAATCTGGCCGCGTGTACGACGTGAAGGAGGGCCGTTTCGACGAACAAGTGTATGTCATGGCGCGCTGTACTCCGCAGATGAAATTGAGCGCACCCTCATAAAAACTTTGAGCTTCACGTAATTCTTCACGTAATTAGATAGGAGCGCTTTCTTACTTGGCGTTTGGTGGACTGCGCTAATTATGCGAAATTATTACCTTCTGAATCAGTTTGACAATAACTGGGCGAATGTTTTCGCGCCGTTCCGCTATTCCCGCTACTATCTTCCTGTAGGCTGATGGAAACATCAAGGGTGGGCTTGGGCGGGCCACGGAATTTCGTTTCTCGATTCCGGTGAAGTATTTGCTGCATATATTAGAGTTTGCCGTAGGTGTCCATGCTGTTCCATCGTCTCTAGAATAGAAAAAAAAGGAAATGTATAATTCGTCAGCAGCTTTAAGCAAAACGCGAACTGCAAGGTAAGAAACTCACTTACCTGCCTCGACGCACAGGCCGCACCCAGGTCGCGCGGATCTCCGCCTCGTACGGCTCCGAAGGGAAGCCGTAGAACTTCGTGCCGTGGGCGCCCTTGTACGTACTGTTGCAGCCGACCACGCAACAGTTGTTGTGGCTTTTTTGGTGCGGAAAAGCCATCTCAGAAATTACAGCGCTAAGCCGCTACAACCACCACAAAGCACCACCGACGCCGCGACTCGCAGAAGCTCCCCGAAGCAACGGACCCGTTTGCCACTAAGGGCGCCCGGCTCGGGGCTTGAATTAGATCCGCACGGTTTCTATACGTGTATAGGAACCGTGCGGATTTGTAGATATGATAGACAACTATAATATCTACATTTTAACAGAAAATAAAAAAAAAAGATTTTTTGAGGAAATCGATTTTAAAATTGGTACTTTTTGGTTTTCGCATAACATTAACGTAAACGTCCCGGAAAGAATATTTCATACAACAGAATCGCTTTATAATATATCTAAAGAGCGTGTTTTGGGCTTTCCGTAGACATAAAAAATATTGATGTAACCCAAGTAGATCGCCAGTATTTAATTGTCAAAGCTCGTGAACAAATAACCGAGGGGCCGTTTTTGACATTTTTACAGAAAACAAGCAAAACGCCTAAAATTATTTCATCGTATTACAGCCGTTTAAATGTGCTCACAGAGTGCTTGAAAAAAGTTAATATAATGTGGATTGAAAATCTACGGCGGGATATCGAGCGAAACATCCGACACACGACGGATATAAAAACACTGCTTTCCGCCACGGCCTCTTTTAAAATTCGTAAGTCGAGAACGAAAAATCTGACGAACTTGCGGCTTGTGGCTACTGCGTTTGTAGAGACAACGCCATAACTTTTTTTTTTCGGCGAAATTGAAAATTTGACCCTTTTTGCCTGCACGATTTGAGATGAAATCACCCATTATCTCTCTCTCTCTCTTTTTCTATCTATCTATCTATCTATCTATCTATCTATCTATCTATCTATCTATCTATCTATCTATCTATCTATCTATCTATCTATCTATCTATCTATCTATCTATCTATCTATCTATCTATCTATCTATCTATCTATATATATATGTATATATATATATATATATATATATATATATATATATATATATATATATATATATATATATATATATATAAGAACCAAACAATCTATATAGTGTCATTATTGTTTTCAAACATTTACCGACATTGCCTTTCCGCTGGTTTAAAACGATAACAAACCTGGCTGCCGGCGTTCGCGGCGTGTTTCAGAAGTGAAGCTCGTTGAACTCGTCTATTTTTATGAATGCGAGTCGTTTTGCGTTCACCGAGGGAGAAAGATGTCCTCAACCGACCTAGTTTGCAGGAAACAACTCACCCAAGTACACGCCTTTGAAAGCGATGAGCGGGTGCTTGTTTTCGTTGCGGAACTGGCCTAAACCTTGCGTCCTACGTCAAATATTTTGTTTGATTCGGCTTGATCCTTGATGCCGAAAAAAAAAAGTTTGGTTCCCGTAAAAGTGGCTCCGCTGCACTGTGAATTGTGCAACCGTCGTGATTGCGGCCATGGCTTTAATACCGAGACTATACCTACACAGGAAGGAATTTACGAGCCCTTTTGTTGGAGGCAGTTCGCTTCGTATCAAGTTTGTACGGGGTACGCTCCAATAATTTCGTTTCGAAAAGCAAGTAGTTATCAAGTTGTGCAGCGCACTTGTCCTGCCAAAGCGAATATTTGTGGGTCACTTTTTAATTGTGCGGCATGACGCTCATCCTCTTTGCTCGTATATGCGATGCGGAAAAAAAAAAAAGAACGGAACATAAAAGCTGAAAGGACGGCATATTTATTTTGTTTTATGTTTTAATCCTTCCGGTCGCTTTTTACCGCACATCGACAGGCGCTGACAGACGCTTGCATTGAACGATGGCTCGTGCATGTCGGAACGCTAGAACGCCGTTCTCGTGGTCACGTTTTTAGACGGCGGCGGAATAGAAGACGGACGCGGGCAATGGCGGCCGCCGACGCGCCGCTTTTACGGTGTGTAAAGCGGTGCTCACATGGCGGAGAAATCGACGGAAGAATATATGTGACGGTCATGATAGGCGACCACCAACCAACGTTACTAGATAACTTACCTCAGTTGTGGAACTTCCGCGGAAGGGGCACCTCCCCTCGCTCACAATTCAGTCCGCCTTCTCTCGTTCGAAGTGCCATCTAGATTTTCGTTTACGAACTGTGTGTTCCATAGAGTACGGTGGAACGCCATATATAGACGTTGCACTTCGAAACGTACGTATTCCTTAGAATACACTGCAGTTACCATAGAAGCTGTCTGGCGCGTCGAACAACAGGTGGCGAGTCATGGTGATTGAGGGGGGGGGGGGGGGGGGGGGTCTAATAACGTGGACCACAACACAACTGCCTCCTCAGCTTCGTTGCTTTACAGGGCCAGCGCTAGCAGCCGAATTTGCGGTTTCTACTCTGGACACTAAGGTGGTTGCCGACAAAATACCGTGAAAATAAAATTGACTCGCTGCCAAACAACTATTGCTTATATTTGTACCGCCCGAGCATTCCCTCTTACATCTTTCAGGTCACATGACACGCGAGCTCCGCGGAAAAATCCCATGGGATTTCTTTGAGGGAATACTGCTTTAGAGGTGTTGGGACCTTAACCTGTCACTGACTGCATACCAACTTAAATGGGTAAGTGAACGTTATCGTGTTGGAATGGTCATGACTTTGCAGAGTCGCACTGGTCCTAGTGGCCCAAGTACACTCGCACAGACCGCCACTGATTCAGAAGCATCTCTTGTCGCGATGGAATTGTGAGGATAAAAGGGGACTGTTTCTTTCAGTCTTGCCCTCGCAGAGCTTGATGCCGTAACTGTGGGATCGAAACCACTCGACTGACGCCAGTCGAGCGCGGCTCATGAATTGGACACGAGGACTGCGTGAGCACTCGACTTCGGCTTGTAACAATCAACGCCTCGGCGGAGACTGAGGTAGTGGCTCGTGTCAAACCCAGGGCGGGGGGGAAGCGGGGGGGAAGCGGGGGGTTGGGGGGGGGGGGGGAGCCTTTTTATTTTCTTACTTTTTCCTCGCATTCGCGCTAGAACAGCCTCCCCTGCTTCTCTCACGCCACCTCCCTCTCTCTAAGCCTTTTTCTTTTCTTACTTTTTTCCTCAGGCAAGTTTGCTCTTTGCAAATTTTATAGCAAAAAATGCACCATCTGTGGGCAACGCTGCACAAAATCGTAGCGCGATAGGTTAGGAAACCGAATTTTGCGGTCGATTTAAACAGCCTGGCTGCTACTGGAGACACCCGATAGTTTACAAGCCACATGCTCGAACGATTCGAAGCGTCGATGTTTTGAAAATCTCCATACAACATACACCCCCAACTCGCTCGTTGCAATAAATCGCCTTCCGGGAAAGCTGTACGGGTACTGCGCTTGCGAACAAACGAGATTTCCAAAAAGCAAAGCACCTGCGCACGCCTCGTTTTACGATCAGCGCCGCCACGTTGGCGTGACGTAAGAAAAAGGAATTGACGTCTTTCACATCATGGTCTTCGCCGCAATACGTTGAAGTAGTAACGCCCTATCGTTGTATTGCGTATACCGTGTTCTGCTCCGCACAAGTTTTCAATACTGTATGATAACTCTACCCTTCATGACGCAGCATCTTGCGTGCAACCTTTCAAGGTGCCACGTTGTTAATTTCTTTTTTTATTTCTTTTTTATTGTGCGCGTAGAAACATCGGAAACTCGTATTCTAAACTACGCCTTGCGCAACGTTTTGGAATGCACAAATTGTCCCGGCGTTGCTACGATTATCAGCTCAAATGCCGCCCTTTCGAAAATGAGATATACTTGTGAAAGGCAGACTGCGGAAGATGACGAAGCGAAGCGGGATAGAGACAGAATCATACGCAAACATTATCACCGGAAAAACAGTGGTTGGCCGCCCTTGCACGCGCCGGCCAACTGTGACATTCACCGGAAAAACAAATAAGCCGTAATTTTCCGGTTGAGTTAAAAACCTCCAGCGTGTAT